AAAACGGCTCGAAAGAAAAGCAGTACTTGCTAAGTGAGCAAGATTGACTCATTAGCACGAACCATCTTGTGGCCCAAATAGACTCTAATAAGTAGAAAATAACTGATCCACCAGCTACGGTTTACATAGCAGTACAGCATGGAGATAGTGAGGCACCTTAACAGTAAAATCTATATAGAGGCTTAGCAACGGGGAACCTGGACATCGTGTAGTAGCTTCAATAGGTCTCGACTTCTTTTGCGTGTCCATTTATGGCAACATGGGCTAACGTAGACCATATTATCAAGCTGTACCGTAAGGATGTCCTTATCAGTGGCCTTAGCAAGTTCTAAGCATCCACCGAGAAGTTCAACCCTCATAGGCTGGACCAACATAGATCCATCTTCAGTTCCCTCATCACCCTCGAGAACAGTGGCTAACCCGTTGTAGGAATGGTCCACCACAACCACAACCGAACCATTTAGGGGTGCTACCCCTCCAACACCTTCTAGAATAATACCGGGGGTTATACCAACCATTGCAGTACCGTTGAGTGAAGTGATAGTCGAAGGACCAGACCATATAACATCAAGATGGTGACCAATACGATTAGCCGGGCACTTGGAGGTAAACACTAAGTCGAATAACTTAGGTTCATACCTACGATCTTCAGTCATAGCCATACGCTCAAGATTTCTCTCTTGACGCATGCGCCATAGCTCCAAGTACTCCCTCAAGGTAACCGCAAACTCATCCTTAGCGCTTTCCAACAGTGGCACGCTATCCTTGACAAAGCTTAAGAGATCCGTATCGAAATACTTCACCCTCAACTCGTCCCAATCAATATCACCGTCTGTGTCACCACGGTCACCAGGAACCCGTATACCGTAAGTAAAATGGAGTTCCGTTGGGCTTACATTCGCCCACATTCTTGGGGTGATGTTATATGCTCTAACAGCTAGCTGGTAGTCCTCAATATACGAGCCTTCGGTAGAACGATCCATAGATACTCTCAACGCTCTCGTCACTTCGACAAAGTCCTTGTGAGCTCTTTCCCAAAAGCTCAGGAATTGAGCATAACCGGGTAGAGTATAATATCGTACACCGTGTTTCGCAAGAACCACTTTAATATCCTTACGCATAAGATGTACCCTATCCCTATCAGTGATAAGGACTCTAGGCGCTCCATGTTCACAGAACACAGAGTGGAACACCTTAGCGATAGTCTTGGGCTTGGAATCCTTCAATGGCCTTGCACAAGTAAAGCCAGAGACGTGATCATGCACCAACAACGAGTAGTGTTCTTTATCATCGTCTCCTTGCGTGCCTTGCCTTCGTCCGTAAGGACCAGCCAAATCCGCACCCAC